AATGACTAGAATGATAAAAATGTTGCATCGAAAGTTCACGAAACGTGACTTAGAATAGTCAGAAGACTGTAAAACAAGTTCTTTATGCATTGTGGTATAGAAGGTAGTCCAGCACACTTTCACATGTCAACAGAGGCGTCTCTATTTAGGACTAGTGTCCTCCGTTGTGGTTACCCCCCCTCCCCCCTCATCACAATCTTCCAAAATAAACTTTCCAAATAAAAACAAGCATTTTTATTTAAATGTGTAAAACTCGGTGCTAATTTTTAGCGGCCCCCGAAAGAGGAAAAGACGCTATTAGTTTTGTGCGAAATGTCTGTCCGTCCGTCCGTCCGTCCTGTTTAGATCTCGTAAACTAGAAAAGATATTGAAAATCCGACATCACAATATTTTAGACCATTCAAAGTTCCTGAAAGCGAAAAATCTATTTTTTAAAATCAGTTATGCAAGCAGTTTTTTAAAATAAATAGCTAATTAGTATGCATTATAAGTTAGACCTAATTTAAAACAAATAGTAATCTTATGAACTTTTTTTCTCTAATGTTTGTTATAACCACAAAGTCGGTGTGGGCTTTTGGAAAACAATTACATTATTTATAGACCAGGAGAGGCTCGGTAAAGCGCTTAGCTTCCGAACCGAGGGTCCCGGGTTCGAATCCTGGTGAAGTTAGGATTTTCAACTTTGGAATCTTTGGGCGCCTCTGAGTCTATCCAGCTCTAATGGGTACCTGATATTAGTTGGGGAAAAGTAAAGGCGGTTGATCGTTGTGCTGGCTACATGACACCCTCGTTAACCGTAAGCCACAAAACAGATGAACTTTATATCATCTCTTGATAACTTGGGGGTCTGGGGGATCGCTGTAAGCCTCCTCAGTGGGGTTTGGGGCGAAGCCCCGACGCCAAAGCGTTTTTTTCTGCATTCTTCACTGCAGAAACGCATTCTCCTGACATTTACAGCTCATTATGTATTAGTGGGGTTTGGGGCGAAGCCCTGACGTTAAAAGCGTTTTCTTGCATTCTTCACTGCAGAAACGCATTCACCTGACATTTACAGCTCATTATCTATCAGTAGGGTTCGGGGCAAAGCTCAGACGCCAAAAGCGTTTTTTTGCATTCTCCTGACATGTACAGTTCCTTATTCATCCTTTTAAAAAATGACATTTTCAATAATGTTTTACTTTAAAAAATATTCGTAAGTGATACATTTTGTTCAATAGGCATGTTTGTAACTTTGTTTTGTTACAGAACTATAACGAGAAACTTCGGAAGTGGGAGGAGAAATTAAGTGGACCAATTAGATTCTACTCTAAATTTGTTTGCATTTTTAGGATTAAAGTATGAATTATGAGCTATAGTCCCAAATTTATTTAACTTAAACAATAGCAGATTGATTAAAGGCAGGGAAAAGGCGACTAGGAAAAGAATATTTTTTTTTATATATATCTCAATCGTTACTCTTCTACTGAAAAATTTCGTATGAATTCTACATTTTCTAAAACAAAGTCTTACTTTTAGAAATTCATGTGAAATTACATAAACTCTGTCGCCATATTCGACTATTCTGTTTTAAAACATCATTTTTTCATTTGGAAAGGGGAGGAGAGGTATAGTGAAAACTATTAATCCTCGCTCCTTTTTATAATTTCTGCTAATGATTGCATTGGGAAGACTCGATATAAGAATTTATAGCATATAAAAATTATATTAGTGACTTTTTTTTTTAATATTGTAATTTCTTAACTAAAATACAAAAATAAAAAAAGGATTGGTTTGTCCGATGAGCGCAAGTCAATTGCATGTATCGTCCCTTCCACTTGGTATAACACTTTTTCATTTTATATATACTATTGATGAAATACTATTGATGAAATTTGAGATTAGAGTCTGTGTGCAACATAATATACAAATAGGTTATTTAGGCCCTACCTTATATTATGTAGCTATGCAACTAATTTTGTTCACAAATTATGATTTCTACATAAAAATAGGACCGCCTCCCCACTAATAGGGCTAGAGTGGGGAGGGCAGTACATGCAATCGCCCCCCTCCCTATACCCCACCGAATCGGCAAAAATAACCGGAGGGTAGCGACATAATTTAAAAATTATATTTTAATTCAACAAATTTTGTTTACAAACTATGATTTTCCTATAAAAGTAGGACCGCCCCCCCCACTCAAAGGGTTTAGGCGGTAAGGGTAGTAGAGGTATTCGCCCCCCCCCCCCCCCCAATAGGCTAACAGAAGAACGACATAATATAAAGCTCGGTTAAAACACCAATAACACGTTTGAATCCTATTTAATTGATTCTGTTAGCGAGCTGTGATTTCTATAAATAAATTGGACCGCCCCCCAAAACTCAAAAGTTTAAACCCACCAAATTGGGCAACATACTTGTGGTGGGGGGGGGGGGGGGCGAAATAGCCTAAAAATAGGTTGAAATATAAATAATTAGTATATATTATTAAAATAATTAACAAATTCGTATACAAAATTGTTTGAATTCTATACTAAAATTCGTCCGCCCCATCCGCTTCGGGGGGTGGGGGTGTCCGAGTGGGGTGGGGGCGATCGCCCCTACCACCCACCCCCCTGGATCGCCAGTGGTACCATCTCAATTCTTGATTATATTTGGAGAAACTTAACAATAACTTGTACAATTGATGCTAAAAGAAAGAAAGGGGAAACAACAAGATAAAGACTAGGCGTGGTACAACTAATACTAGTTATGTCCCTTCAATAAACCGTTTTACATTCATCCCGGTGGCCAGAGGCGGCCTTAGTAGTGCGCGGGACCCTAGGCGATTGTAATATGCTGGGCCCTGAGCCGTAACTTACCCCCGTAGGGTAGACTATATAGGTCCTATATCGTACCACGTCACGCTAACGGGATTGTTTGCCTTTAACGCTGAAGGCCTTATTTTTGTTGCAAAACATACTACCTTACGTAAGTACTGCACTACTGGTCGCTTAACTACATTTTGTAAGTGTTCTCCGCCTTCTGAATCTGATACGTCCACAAAACGCTTAGTAAAAGACATCTGCTCTTTGTGGCTAACATCAAGCGTGCAGTCAAGGATGACGGGATAATATGCCATCAGGTTCAAAAGCTCGTTTTGAATCCTATATCCGAGGTGCTGGTCGAGAGCCTTGGCGTTCTTAATTCGTCGAAAATATTCTTGCATGGTTGGGTCGAATTTGTCAAGCATCACAACCAGACGAATTCGGCGAATTAATTTTCTCTGTTTCTCAACGAAAAGCGCTGCTTATTTTTAGGCAGGTACTGAACATAGCAAAGATTTTTGCTAATCTGCGCGCCAATGCAGTTTTCCTTTTCTAATTTGTTCTAGCATCAAGTTATGCATTGCGCTACAATTAGAAATTCTCAGAGCTTAATCAAACCACGCTGACTATAAGTACTTAAAAGGATGTGAATTTAAAAAAAGACAGTCTTCAATGTCTACTTATATCAACTCAAATTCTCTATTCATTAATTATTTTCTACAATATTTTATTTATTTCTCTGTGACAAAAGAACAGGAATCTCCTATCGCAGGGTCCCCTCAAGCGCGGGGCCTGGGACGGTTGCCCCACTTGCAACAAGTTTAGGGCCCTGAATTTTTCTGTGATTGGTACCATGGCATTTAACATTTGTAGGCTTGTGCAATGGGAGAGCCGATAAAACTACAAATGGAATCTACCAGGAAAAGTGAACGGATCTTTACTTTGTGATAGAACATAATATAAGCCAACTTATTTGTTTTGTAAAGTGTGCCTGTCTTAAAACACAACCACATCTAAAAGGATTATAAAATTAATATTATGGCATTCTTGCTTTGAGCCACGAATAAAAGATGGTTAAACTTGCCTAGAAATTGGAGGATTGATTGGAATATTTAGCAAAAAAGAGACAAGAAAATGAGTCGTTGGAAAAGTTATATAAAATGTTGCTGACATATTTAAGTAGAGAAATGAAGCAGGTTTCCGACGCGTAAAAAAAATAAAAAAGATCAACTTCCCATGAATGACTGTCAGTTCTAGAACCAAAAAGTTTCTTACATTTCAGATCAAATTTTATATCGTTTTTTTTTTGGTACATTTTCGGCCTTATGGCCAGTGGCACGAGTGTCAGAAATTAAAATGGCCTGCATGTCAAATTAGGTTGGGCATCACTGCATTAGAGCACGGAATGGGTTGCCTGAGTCAGCCAGGAGAACCAATGACTTGGCAGAGTTTAAGTCATTGATTAACATGCTTGACTAGATTGACCTAGGAACACATGTAGGACGTAATCATCTTCTATTTTGATATTTTATAAGATAAGACATATTTCTCTTGAGCTTTTCTCTCCATGACAAAAAAATGTGTAGATCATCTGCCACTACATCATCAATAAATCGTAAGTTTGTGGCACCTAACTTTGGGTTTATATATTTATATATATATATATATAGACATTCTTTCAAGTTGACCTGCTTATCGTAGAGTGTTGTCTTGTTTTATTTCCTTCCCTGTGGATAAGTCTTCCTAAAGCTGCTATATCTACTGGTTAGTGCGTTTCCTCCATACAGTAATTAGTAATTCTGTAATTAGATAATTTTGAAACGAATAACATTTAGATATTTAACATTATACATCAATTTACCGTGTTTTATGAATGGCTTTGGTCTAAATTATTTTGAATGAACACCTTTAGGAAGAACCTTAACAAATACAGTGCAAACATGTTACTATTTTTTAATTGAACAGACTTTAAAACAGTGGCGTAGCTAGGGTGGGGGGGGGGAGTATTTGAAAATCCCCTCGGGCCCCCACTTGGGGAGGGACCCTAAAGGATTGTTTTTTTTTACATTAAATATTAAATATTACGCAAAATGCAGGGTCCCCCAAAGAGGTCAAGCTCCCCGGACCCCAAATAATGGAAAATTCCTAGTTACACCCCTGCTTTAAAAGAGTCTAGGTCTTAACGGAAAAAAAGAAAATCAAACAAAAAACACACAACTAATGTTCAAATAGTATTTATTGATAGAAACAAACAAGTGTATTGATGTAGATTATTGTAGGACGTTGAATGTAACAAGAAAAACAAGACAAAAATTTTATTAAACATAGATTTAGTACAAAACTGTACCAAATGTTAATACATAATAGTTTGTATTAATTTAAACATTATGTATAAATAGTATCCATTTCTAAGAACACGTTTGGAACAATTGTATAGTAGCATGGAAAATGTTTGAGATATCACAAGACTCTGTGGAATGTGATGAACGATGTATGTATATGTACATGACACTCTCTTTCCAAACATCTCTTTAGGAATTTTAAAACATGGGAAATTGATACTAAAAACAATAGTGCGCCTGAATGAACCAGTGAAACAAAAAAGTCTGAAACAACTGATAAATAAACATAACATGTAGAACATAAAAGCAGCACTAGGCTACAATGATTATTGTGAAAAGGTTAAGAAATTATAATGAGACATAGATTGACTCCAACAAAGACATGAACCAAAGATCTGCAACCTGGCAAGACTGTCTAAAGGGGACAAAATCTAATATATGACGACCATTTCAAGCCACAAAAGAAAAGAGCTTTTAAAGAGCTTCTAAAGATTTCAAGTTATCTGACCTAGGGTCACACTATTACAAGACCAGCCTAAAGGAACCCCTTCCCACATATCTCAACACACACTTTCACCATCAATTATATATAAAAGCCAACACATTTTGGAGCCGAGGCTTCTTCCAAAGACAAAGATTCTGTCTATTTGCATCTGTATCTCCCCAACAATAGAACTAGTGCTGCTGATATGTCATGTCACCTCTTTCAACAGGTATTTCTTTATGAAATATACAAAATATCATATAAAACAGATCTTTATCTTTTTTTTGTTGTTGTTGTGTCTATTGTTTATTCAAATGAACAGAATCTTTCTTCAATCACTGTTTTGGTTGAATAACTAACTGTTATCAATGGACCTAACTGGGATAGAGAGATATTTACTGCTAATTATTTACATATTCTAAAAAAGTTTCTCCTACTGCAATCTTGTCACTCTGTTCTTTACATATGTCCTTCACATTACATCTTTGAATTCACAAGAATCTTAAGAAAAAATGTGAATAGTTACAACTGACAGTTGCTACATTAGAAATAATTCATCCTATTACTGACAGTTGCTACATTAGAAATAATTCATTCTATTACTGACAGTTGCTACATTAGAAATAATTCATCCTATTACTGACAGTTGCTACATTAGAAATAATTCATCCTATTACTGACAGTTGCTACATCAGAAATAATTCATCCTATTACTGACAGTTGCTACATTAGAAATAGTTCATCCTATTAATGACAGTTGATACAATAGAAATCAATCATCCTATTACTGACAGTTGCTATATTAGAATTAGTTCATCCTATTAATGACAGTTGATACAATAGAAATCAATCATCCTATTATTGATAGTTGCTACATTAGAAATAGTTCATCCTATTAATGACAGTTGATACATTAGAAATAGTTCATCCTATTACTGACAGTTGCTACATTAGAAATAGTTCATCCTATTACTGACAGTTGTTATGATAGAAATCCTTTCATTCTTCCTTTTACCGTCTTCCACACATCATAAAATCTAAAAGATTATACAGACTACACAACATCACTAAATAGCTAAATAGCTTATGTTTCAATTAACAAAACATGAACAACTATGGTCTTGATTGTAGCTCTGAAGTAAGGATACATTTTCTTTTAAAAAAAAACGTACATTTTCAAATTATCTCACACAATCTGAATAAATAAATAAATACACAACTTTTCAAATTATTGACATTTTTACACAAAAAATATTAACAAATATATTACAACTATTTTGTATATTGTCAGAAAACAGCATGAGCTAAATATTAACCAACTGTACATCAACAAAGTAGAGTTTCATTAAAATTTGTATCAATTCAATCATTTCATACTTGACAATAAAAATAATTCATATTTTGTACTAATAATAATGTTAAATTTTAAAATCTAAAGATTGTAAATTTAAATTTATCAAGTAAACAAGAAGTTAATTAAATGAATAATAAGACGTCTCTATTACTTTTCTGCTCAAAATGAAATTAAACATATGGTGACATTTAACTCAACAGGCCTTAAAAATGGACACCAGTATTGGAGCCAAAAAGTTGGCAAGTGTTAGTAGTTTTAAATACCTCAGAGGTATTTTAGATGTAGGAACCAAACCTAAACTACTAGCCAGAATTGCACAGTCCACAGAAGAACTTGCAATGCTTAAAACAATCTGGAAAGATCAAGGCATAGCCTAAAATCAGACAGGTGTGCTTCTTGGTCACATTCTTGTATGCTTGTGAAACCTTGGATGCTAACTGCAGAACTAGAGAGTAGGATCTTAGCAATAAATGTAAAAGAATCCTAAGTACAAAGACTGCATCATGAACGAGGAGATAACAAACAGGATCACTGAATAGGGCCCCACGATGACCTGCTGACCACCATCAAAAAAACACAAACTAAAACTTTATGCCCTTAACACAAGGTGCTCAGGGCTCACAAATGCCTTCCTTCAGAAAACAGGACCAGGAGAAAGAAGAAGATGTAGACAGAGAAAACAAGAGAGAGACATTTTATAAAAGAATGGAACGAGCCTGTCACTGAAAGAGATTCTATCCAAGGCAAAAGACAGAGAGGAATGAGAAGACAGCTAATAGACCATGTGTGGAGCCCCAATGGTTTAACAGATTAAGGGATAGGTGAAGAAGACATTTAATTGTTTCATTAAGCTTTTTATATGTAGCTGGTTTAACCAAAGTTCCAGATTTAGTTCAAGGAACAACTATGAAGACTGAATAATAATGGCTGTACAAAAAAAAAGGGTTCAAAACATTGGTTCAGACAAATTTATTTAAATATTTATATGAATGTACTTGACAGTAATCAACTTTTATTGTTACTGAGGTGGGGAGAAAGAAAGGGGAAAATGAAAAATAATAGAGTGAAAGAGTGAAGTTAGCTAGAGATTGAAACAACCCAAGATAAAGTCCCAAGTCTCATAATAAGAGAAGAATTTCTTTTATGTTTCAGATGCTCCTTCAAAATTAAAGATTATTACATCCTTGCCCAAACCTCCTGCAGGATGATGGGGGATTGTGTTGGGCTGGTTTCAAACCCATGACTATTGAGACAACAGTCCAATGTGCATATTAAATGACCAGGTAAACAGAGAACATATGTCAGCTCATAAACAAAGGAAGATTTTGACAAATCTAATTATGAAACTTTTTTTTTTATAGAGTAAAGAAAATTTTATAGATCATCATCACAAATGCTAAAAACTTAGTCAAGAATCATGAAAGATTATACTAGTCTATATTGTCACGTTTAATAAACACTTAGCTAATGCTATAAGACATTTGGCCTGTTAAGTTAAATGTTTTAAAAATAGTGTACATGAAAGTATTTCCTTAAATATGAGTAGAGCTAGATGAAGACAATGTTTCTGTAGAATTGCAGGCAACTAATTTCCCGCTATTTATAAAACACCTGGATTGGTGTGTTCAATAATAGCTCGCTTACAATATTTTCTGACCATAGCATAGGCATCAGCAGACAAACAGCAGTCCTGAACATGAAGCTGCTGAAGTGAAGGGCAGTTATAGGCTACAACAACAATGCCCTTGTCAGTTATTGCATCGCAGGACTTTACACCCAGCTTCCTTAGATTTGGGCAGTACCTGGACAAGGCATACAAGCCTTCATCTGTAATGTCACATTTGCCAATGTCCAGGGAGCGTAACCTTGGGCAGTTCCTGGCCAGGAATTCTAAGCCAATGTCGGAGACAGCTTCGCATCCTCGGACATTCAGGTATCGAAGTTTGCTACAGTTCTTGGCAATGTTGATCACACCTTCATCAGAAACCTGAAAACATCAAGGCACATGATTATACTAGCTTTTACCATTATACAAATGTGCTGTGAGTTAAAACTATTAACAATTCCAAACAAGAAATAAATATAGCTTAATTAATTGGTTTAGAAATGAGTTTGTACTGTTACAAGCCAACACTCTGGCTGGCAAAAAGGAGAACTATTCAATACTCAGAAGAGACAAAAGCCCGAGCTAGTTTGGTCATATTGCAAGACATGACTCACTGTGATAAGTCATCATTCAAGGTTCAGTGGAAAGAGCATGAAAAAAGGGTATCTAAAAGACTATGTAAAAGAATGGACCAGTCTTTCTCTTGATGTTCTACTAGGAACAGCTGATGACTGGTAAAAATGGAGGGATTTATTACACAAACTGTCACAGCATCCCTTTGACAAAAGTCAAGAGACAGATGAGAGAGGAGAATTTATTGGTTTAAGGACTTTCACAATTTTTTATAAGGTAATTCAATCCAAGCTATTGTGGAGCTCTGACTGTGTGACAAAAAATAAGTTTGAAGTCAAGAAGTCGTCTAACATTTTACTAACCTCCTTAAGTTTAAAAAAAACAAACTATTATGAAACTATTCTACTTTATTTGTAACCCACACTTAAAATGTGTGCCACAGCAAAATGGTTCAAAACTTTTTAAAGCCTTCCAAGAAATGTTTTACTTCCCTGGCATTTCAAGGAAGTTTTTCATTTCTTTTTAGTTACATTGATTTCAGAATTAAACAAACACAGCAGAGAAACCTACTACGTTAAGTGATAAAATGTGAATATGATTTACATAATTGCAAATAAAAACAGAAAAGGTACATATTATTTGAGTTAAAATAACATAAGAAATCTTTTATTTTGTATATAAATGTCGTATATTATTATTATATTTTTTTAAACTTGAACAATTTTTATTCATTAAAGAAAAAGAAAATTAAATTTTGAAATTATATATATATAATTTAAGAAAAACAATGTGTAAAAGAACCTTTTTTTATATATTAAAAACACCAGGCAGCTTCTGCAATCATTAACTCCATCACATCATCACCTTATGTGCTTATTTACACAATTTAAGTGTAAAGAAAAACTTTGTAAGCTCAAATTCAATCTAATACACATATCTGACTCAATATTCCCAATATTTGAGATTGATATTATTTTTTTTATAAATTTTTGGAACCAACAAATAATGAAACAGAAAACCAAGCATAACTAGAATAGAACTGACCTTCTCACACTTGGCCACACTTAGATATCTCAGATTGTCCCGTAGCTTGGCAAGCTCTCTAATTGCTAGGTCAGTGATGTTAAGACAGTCACTCATACTTAGCTCTCTTAGACTGGAGATAAAATTGTAAAGTCATGAGAAGAAAATAAAGGTAGTTACTTTATTATATCATAAAATAATTTTAAAAAGGTTCCCTTATAGACTTTGTGGACTATAAAAACCTGGCAAAATATAAACTAAAATTTAAAAAAAAAAACAGAAACTATTTCAATAGGCTTTAAAAAAATTTCAAGAACGACTTTCATCCATAATTAAAATCATTTGAAAAAACTTTTAGATAAATGGGAAGTAACTTAAGCTAGATTACATGCAGCAGTCATTATAGTTATGTCCCTTGAATCATTAGCTCAATCTTTCTCTTTCTTTTCCTCTCTTGGAGTGAAATTATAATCAATTATTCCTTTTGCTAAGAGTGACGAAGGTATTCCAGCATAATGCAAGAAAAATTAAGCCTTATCAAAAATGCTTGCTAAAAATTTACACATACAAAAAAGGAAAACAACTATATTCCTTTAATTGTATAAATATTTCACACACAGAGAATAGTTATTAATATTATAAATCAAATCTTTAAGTATGTCTTCAACTATATAGTAGAGTAAGGACAGGACTAAAATTACTTATTTGCACAGAATATTTTTTAATGTTACAAAATAAAAAGAAACAAGCAAACAAAAAAATTGGGAAAACTTTTTCCTGGTAAACTAATAGATGTAACTTTTGAATAAGGTGTCCAATCATTTTTTTTCTTTCAGAGGCATCTGAATTATGGGAAGTATCAGTCACAGAGATAGAATTATGTGATAGTTGTACAATGAAACATTATAGAATACATAGAAATTTTAACTTATGTGGCCCATCAAGACACTCAATGAGTCACAAGAAGACATTAACTCTTTAGGAGCGTGTTACTCTCAGTGTGTAACTCTGCTAGCACTGGTGAGTGCGGCATTACTCTCAGCAAGTAACTTGGTTTATAATATTTATTTCACTATCCTGTTTATGTTAAACTTTTTATTTCTCTCTTTCTATTTATTTGCCAGATGAAAGAGTGATTATTCTTTGTTTTGGTAGTAAATTCAATGTAGTGCCAACAAGTTTGTTATTTTAAAAAGACAACATTGTGTTAATGGTTTCTTTTTTTTAGTTTATTTCCCGGGACTCAAAAAATGTAAATAAACAATTTCTTAGTGGTAAAATGTGTTTAAAAATTGTGATTTTCAATATTTAAAGATAAAATATTAAATCAAAAGGTTAAATTTTTCAGTA